TATTCACATCACAACTCTCTCACTTGCCAGTTCTGAGATACTGAGCAAGTTACTTAACCTGTGTAAGCTTTGTATTATTCAAGGGTCTCCAGAACCTACACACACACACACACACACACACACACACACACACAAATACCCATACATGTATACATAAATACACACACACACACACACACACACACACGTAGGGTTCTCAGAACAGTCATGACATATTTTTTCTATGCAAAAATGAGTCATGACTTTTCCGACAACCCAATATATACATAGACATGCTGCACATACATACACAAAGAGACTTACAAGGAATTGGCTCACCTCATTATGGAAGCTGATAGATTTCCAAATCCTCAGTGAGCCAGCTTGTACCTAGGAGAGTCAATGTTGCAAATTCAAATCCAAAAGCCAGTAGGCTGGAGACCCAGGAAGACATGTTTCAGCTTGAGCCTAAAGGCAGGACAGAGCTTATGTCCCCACTCCATGGCAGTTAGACAGGAAGACTTCTCCCTTACTCACAGATGGGTCCACCCTTTGGAGCTATTCAAACCTTCAACTGATTGGCTGAGGCCCACCGTCATTAGAGAAGATAATCTACTTTAACTTCTTCTACCTATGTAAGTGTCCATCTCTTCCAGAATCACCCTTACAGACAAATCCAGAGTAAGATTTGACTAAATATTGGGGCCTCCATGACCCAGTCAAGTTGACACATAAAATTAACCATCACAAGTTCAATGTCCATATCTATAGGAGTATTAATAGTATTATTAGTTTAATGAGAAGATCTCTTGATCTAATGAGTTATTGAAAATTAAGTGCCCCTATAGTATCTCAATAAGTGCTATTACTATCATCATTACTATTGTTGAAAGCATTTATAGATGGGGACCAAGTTCTAGCCTGAGGGAAATAAGGATGCCAGGAAAGCAGAGAGTCAGGAATGACTTCGCAAGTATATGCATTGCCTGTGCTTAGGAGAGCCCCATGCTTGGTTTAATACTCTGTTGTTGCTATCTTAAAATACTTAATAATTTTTGAACAAGGATCCCTGCATTTCCATTTAGCACTGGACCCTGCAAATTATGTAGCTGGTCTGGAGTGAGGTATAGGGACTCTTAAATAATAATAATAATAAAAAGTCCAAAGAGGTGTTAGTGAGTTATCTGGGCTCTGCAACATTTCTGGTTCCCTCCCTCCCCCACTGAATTCTGCAGGCATGAAAACTGCCACAAGACATTCATTTTTAATGACTTGTTATGGGCTTCTTAGCAATATATCTTTGGGTATTAAGGTGTGGAGTCAGAGACTTAAAATGATTGATGACTTTGCTCCACACAAGGGTCTCCCACACTTACCTAGCACCAGTTATCCACTTGGGAAATTTATGGGAGCTCTTGGCAGCCTAAGCGGCCATCAAATATTAATCAAAAATATGTAATAACTAATATATACTTAAAGAATTGAAGAAAATTAATATTCAAGGGAAGCATTCAGGGACCCATAAAAATAACAAATGCTAAAGAGACTCAGTCAAGGTTGGCAGGTTCAGAACTCACCGTGCTCTTACACTTGCTTTGAGAGTTTGGGTTTGCTGGCAGCTCTGAGCCGCTGGCATGGCAAGAGGAGGGGCTTCATGATTTTCTACTGGATTGACTGGACTCCAACTGACAAAAGGAGTGCATTCCTCCATCAGGACACTGCAATTCTACCCCTTTCTTTTCTCTGAATAACTTTTTTTTTCTTTCTTTTTTAAATATTTACCTATTTATTTCTTCTATGAAAGAGAGAGAGAAGAGGAGGGAGAGGGAGCATGCAATAGGATCCGCACACTGTAACTCACACCCAGTCTTAGCCAGCCTGGATCACGGGCATGTGCATGCCTGGTGTGCACAGGGAGGCCCTAGGACATAAGACTGGGACCTTTGCACATGGGTCCAGTATCATAGAGTTTGGGTTATCACTGTACCATTGGCTCCTCCCTGCACATTTCTCTTCTAGTACCACACATATCCAATTTACTACTAACTCTTTACAGGAATCTCTCTTGACAGACCCTGGAGGATAGACTATGTCTTATTTTGATATCTTCCATAGCTAGGGCTACAGCTTGAAAGGATTAGGTTGCACTCTCATCTGATTTCCACATTTGTAGATCAAGAATGGGCAAATATTAGCAATTTTACATGGTTCGATTTAATCAATTCCAAACTAAAGGTTATTAAAATGAGTACTTGAATAATAATGACCTCTGGGTGTGGTCTTTGTAGTAGAATTTCATTTTTAAAGTGTGGCTAGAGGACAAGCGTGCTTGTTGAGAGAAAGAGAGGGGAGGCAACCCTCATGGGTCATGGTCACTCTGCACTTTTCCTTTTGGGATTCTTGGGCATAAACACCCATGTACTCAGCATGTTTTTCAAGCCACTGGGTCTGGAGCTTGAACCACACAGTTGGCCACATGTGAGCCAGTCACCTTATCCACCAGGCCACAGGCTAGCCTAGTAGCAGAACTTTTAAATTAGAACTGAACAGTTACCCCAGAGCAGGCTGGAAAAATGTCCATAATTCCTGGTGTCAAAGACTGGAAAGTCTGCTGATCCTTGGGCAGGAGGCCGATATCCAGTTGTTTCCTGGGGAAGCCTCATTTTGCCTTTTTGTGGCTGAAAGAAAGGGGTGTAGACGTGGCTCTGCCTGGGATTGGCAGACCGAGTTTAGTTCTCAGTTGGTGCTTTTGGATGAGGACTTCGATAGTTCTTTATTCCTCTTCAAGTTCCATCTGTAGCTAGCTCTTTCTCACCGCTACCCTCTGTCGCTTCTGCTTCCCTTGGGAGCACAGGGTGCACAAAGAAGTTCACAATTTATTTATTTATTAACATTTAAATTTTTTTTTAATTGACAGAGAGCCAGAGACATAGAGGGAAAAAGCAACCCTTTAATGAGGATGGTTGCACCACAGTCCCTATTTCTCCATTTCTCCATCCTGTTGGGATTTGGGTCATGTTTTTCCAGCTACCTGGATAAGATTAAAACCAGTGATCAGTCATATGGGATCCAGCTCCCTTAACCATTAAGCTATGGGGCCAGTCCAATATTTTTAAATTTTCAATTGATAAAAATGAAATACATTTATACAACATGATATTTTGATTCATGTATACATTGTAGAAGACAAAATCAAGCCAATTAATAACAGGCATTATTTCACATACTTAATCATTTGTGTGTGTGAGTGTGTGTGTGTGTGTGGTGAGAACAGCTAAAATCTTAAGAATTTAAGTGATTTATTTTTTTGTATTTACAAAATAAAAATTATGTAGCAACAGAGCTCAGATTAGTGTGGCTCTCTGGAGGACACACATGGAAAGACGGGGATGCTCAGCTTCCCCAGGAACAAGGGCTGCTCTTTAATCCCCAGAGAGGAGTGAGTGGCAGCAGACTGAGTCTGCTTGGAAGGGAGTAGTTTGTTCGGGTGTTGGACCACCACGGCAGTTGCTGGTCTCTTCTGTTATTGTCAAAAATCAGGAGCAGAGCCTGTCACTTGTCATCTGTTCTTCGAGTGTAACCAACTTTTCTTCCATGGGCCATTTGGTGTGACTATGAATGATGGCTCTGGCTAAATGACACCATCCTGATGGTGGGATAAACAGAAGTGATGCTGGAACAGGAGCCTTGGATCTGGTCTGTATTTTCAGAGAGCTACAGAAAAGGCCTGGGATTGAGAGGAATGTGCAGCACAGTGCATTGGAGACCTTGCCCAGGCCTCTTTTCATCCCCACTGTGGTGACTGAGGATTAAATCCCTGAGTTACTGAGGCACAAGCCCAGCTCCTGGTTAGACACAGGCCCTACAAACTCACTTGTATTAGAGTCCACATAGAGATTCAAAACATGGATGAAATTTCAATATTATTTAGCTCAATTTCCTCATTTTTTTTTCTAAGTTAGGAGATGGAAGCTCAGAGAGGCCAAACAGTTTGTCTTAGGTTCTATGGCAGGTACTGGTAGAGCCCAAATGAGAACCAGATACCCACCTCCTGGTTATGTGCCCCAGCTACTTTGTTGTGCATTATTCCTGTATCTGTTTCCTCTGTTCTTAGCTACATTGTTTCCCTAGCAGTTGTTTGATTGCTTAAAAAAACAAAAACAAAAACAAAAAAATACAAAACTCTACTATCATATTAAATGTCTGCATCAGTTATAAAACTCAATTTTGACACATTAACATGGGAAAAAGTATGTCGAGAAGCAGAGTAACTTAGTGGATAGAAAAGCAGGTTCTGGATTTCAGAAAGACTGGGCTCCGATTCCACTTACTTCTGCATTTAGCAAGTCACTCCCTCTGTCCTAGATTCATCTAGGGACTAAAAGTAGTACCTCTTCCATGGGTTGATGTGACTAGCCATCTAGCCTATCTATAAAGCATTGGCCTTTCCCTGGCCCACAGTCAGTGCTCCACAGATTTGGACTTACTATTTGTGTATGAGTTTGTGTACGTGTATCTTATCTAGGTGAGAAGGTGAGGGAGGGGCACTTAAAAAGTGGTAGCAATGCAGTGTTCGGGATGGCTGCCTGGTTCTCTTTTGATTTGCCTGAGACACGGCATGTCGCTATGACTCTGGGTTTCCAGAAGCATTTGCTGGCCAGGCTCTCGGTAAGACTGAAATAAGAAAACTTTTGCCTATGTATTAATAAGATAGACTGTTTTTTCATGGTTTTGGAAGATAGCACCCCCCTGCCTGGGATTTCCTAAGAGTTAAAGGGGGTCCTTTGCTCAATTTCAGTAAAGCATTTTGCACCTACCTGGCATATACTAACCACTCAACAAACATCAGTGGGGTCTAGGATAATATGGAACGTTTTGTGGAATTGCGTGAAAGGGAGAACAACGCAAGATCAACAATGTTACAAACAACTTTGGTTCCTCTATCTAGACGGTCTATTAATTTTTCAAGCCTTCTCACAACCCATTTGGTAAGACTGTGATGTGTTCTTTCCATTGTACAGATGGAGTAACCGAGAGACTACAAAGTGACATCACCAGCAGGCGGTGACCTAAGGAGTCAGGGCCAGAGCCAGGTCTGGGATCCAGACTTCCTGGCTGTTGACCCAGGTTCCCTTCTGCCATGCAGCTTTCACCAGGATGCTGGAGGGACCAGGGAAGTGTCTGTTTCGGGGCTCTCTCAGTTGCCCTTGGACGTTTATCATCTATCAACTGAATGTTGACTAAAAACACACTAATTCCTGAGGAGCCCTTACAGGATGTCCTGTTGAGACTTTTCCTCCTTTTTTGTCAGTGCTTTGCTGGCAGATTAAAATTCAGTGGACCCCATTTGTAGGAAGTCTGATAAAATATTCTCATCTCTATTGCAAACAATTTCTCCATCTGCCACTTGGCTGAGAAGACCAGACTCAAACACCCTCACAAGAGGGGAGAGTGATCCCAGGCAGAGGAGGATACAGGAAACAGCAGATCTGTGTCCTGACACAATGTCCACCTGATATATTGTCAGATAGATAGGATTAGACAATTGTTAAGCAGCTGGATTTTTCTTCACCAAAATGCCTGTACACACCTACGGTTACTTTGACTATTATTTGGTATCTCGTAGCTGTGTAGCATAAAAATCTGTAAGAGAAACAATACATTTGGGGTTGAGCCTGAGGCATAAGTGAACTATAAGAGGAATAATTTGGAGGACACACGAAGTGAACTCAGAAAAACTGACTTGGGCAAAGCAATGAGTTAGCAAAAGACACTGAAAGAAGTTAATGAAATTCACCTAAAAAAAGGTTTATAGTATCTGCTATGTGAGGACAAATGTGTTGGAGTGAATAGGAAATGAAAAAGACATGATCCTAGATTTGAACTGATGAGGGAAACATTCCTTCCTTCAATAAATAGTGCTGGATCTTGGTGAACAAGGAAGGCATGGCACCTATCCTCTTGGAATTAATATATTCCTTTACATCAACAAAGAGAATGTGACCACAGACTGGGTTAAATCCTAAGGAGGAAATAAAGAGGGGGTTGTGATAGTGAGTATCAGCATAGGTGGATGGGGTGAAGTGGAGCTATTTCAGATTAGGGAAAGCCTGCCCTTGAGAGACAGCCTAAGACTGGATGTATAAAGAGTGAGGGAACAGCATCTGGGCAACAAATTTCAAATCAAAGATCTGAGAAATCTTGGCACATTCTTGAAGCCTTCTGAAGAATGACCTAGTTGGAATGTAGTAGGGAGAAAGATAACAAAGCCAGAGCAGGAATCTAGGTGAGGAACAGCATTGATTGGACCAAGGAGTGATAGGACAAAGACAAATAGATACATTCAAGATCTTTCGTGGAGGGATTGCTTGATGGCCCCAGCTGAAGGACTGGATATAAGATTTACCTAACAGACAGATTTCTGGATAAAGAACTTGGTACAGAGCATCCCTAATCCAAAAATTCAAATCTGAAATGATCCAAATTATGAAACGTTTTGAGCATTGACATAATGCTGCAAGTGGAAAATTCCACACCTGTCCTCAAATGGTGGGTTGCAGTTGAAATGCTGCAATACAAAAATATTATATAAAACTATCTCCAGGCTATGTAAATACGCTGTATAGGTAACACACATGAATTCTATGTTTAGACTTAGGTCCCATCCTCAGGACAGTTCATTATGAAGTGCAAATAGGCAAAATCAAAAAATAAACTCTGAAATCCTCAACACTTCTGGTCCCAAGTATTTTCTAGAAGGGATACTTACCCTGTATATGGTGGTGCCATTTATCATGACAGGAAACCCAAGGAGGGAGAATCCTTGCAGAGTGGAATAAAGAATTTCATTTTGGGGGCCAGCAGGTAGCATGGTGGTTAGAGCATTGGATTCCCACATGGCCAACCATGGTTCAAGACCCAAACCCATCAGCTTGAAAATCACGCTGGGCACATGTGCACGTGTGCCCAAAATCTCCAGGGGAGAATGGAAGAGAAGAGATTGTGGTGTGGCCTTGTCCCTTTTGGGGAGTGGGGGTGATTCCTCTCTCTTTGTCTCTGTCTTTCTCTGGTGAGCACACATATCCTATAGCAAAAATAACAACAACAACAACAAATTCCGTTTTGGATTAGCCCGTGGCATGGTGGCAAGGCGGCTAGATCCTACATAACCAACTGTGCGGTGAATATTTATCTACTCCATGACCCAGCAATACTGAATTATAGGTAAAACACACACACAAAGTGACTGGCACAAAAACGAATATAACAGTCTTAGTCACGATAGCCCAAGCCTGGAACAACCCAAATTTATACTGACAAGAGAATGAATAAACCATCAACAGTCTAGCCATGTGATGGGATCCTTTTAGAAGTAATAAATGCAACATCTCAAAAACGGTATCTGAGTGATAGAAATCAGAAATTAAAAAAGAATTTGTGCTGTATGATCTCATTTACGTGAATTTCTAGATCGAGTGCAATTAACTTATAATATGAGTGACTGATTGGCAAGGGACATAAAGAAAATGTCCACAGTGATAAAAATGGTCTAAGTGGCCTATAGCTCTTTAAATGGTAGTTAAATGGGAGTACACAATGGCTAAAATTCATTGAAGTGAAATTCAAGATCTTTTTTTAAAAAATAATTATTTATTTAATTTTATTTATTCATTCATTTATTTTCATTTGACCAGAGAGAGATACACAGAGAGAGAGAGGGAAAATGAGAAATCAAGCCACTAGTTCCGGTACTTGAACCACGGTCGACCATGTGGGAGTGTCCAGCACCTTAACCACCAAGCCACCTGCTGGTCCCCAAAATTCAAGATCTTAAGGTCTATGCATTTTTTTTCCAAATTATATGCTATCCAAGTTAAAAAAAAGATTGTCTACCTATAGTGCCTGTATTCTTAAAGTGGTTGTGAATTTTAGGGGCAAAAAACAAGAGGTTATTACAACACATGATCAACATTTATTGAAATAAAATGAATTTACTTAAACTAGCAGGATCTAGTGACTTTCTTTCTCCTCTCTCTTTTTTTGAAAACGTAATTTCCATTTATTTATCTCTTATATTCTTTAATAAAAATTTGTAACTTCACACAACATAGATATACACATTTGTAATGCAGCTTATTTGTAGGTACTTTACATTTTTTTTGTGATCAGAATGTTATTTTAATTTTATTTGGTTATTGTTTTTTTAACCAATCTGGAAGAAAACTATATGTATTTTTTGTGTTTATTTCATGTTGCTATTATTTTCTTTTTTGTAGTTGTTTGTAAATTTTATTTATTTAATCATATATATCTTTAGTGTATAACATTTCTTTTTTGAGCATGATTACCATGCATATTAGTCATGACAAAGACATTACTATATACATCATCAGCAGCAAATAGCTTTTCATCTTTTTGTCAATCAAATATACTTTGCTTTTCTTTTTCTTCTCCTGTCCCTCTTCTTCCATCCCTCCATTACCCACCTCCATGTTAACCCATTCTTTTCATCTCTAGTATCTACCATTGCCCTCTCTGCCACTATACCTTCCAAACTTTCAGTTTCTGTCACAGAGTGCAGATAATCAGTGTATATTGAGTGGGGACATCCAAATTCTGTCTCTCATAGCCTGACTTGCTTCACTTAGCACTAAGTCTTCCATATCGGTTCACTTTGTATTACATGTCAGAGCTTCATTATTTTTTATGGATGAATAGTATTCCATAGAGTACAAATGTCACATTTTTTTCAATCCAACCTTTCTAAGTGACACACACAGCTCTCAGGTTGGTCTGTACTCATGTGGACATGATGCCATGTCAGTGAACTAGAGACTTGCAATTGTTTAGGTGGGAAGAGTTCAATACACCTCCATCTGTGTGGTACCATGTTATGGCAAGCCCTACGTGTTTTGTGTTTACTCAAGCAGCCTGATGGTTCATCAAGGCCAGTTAGGCTTCTATTTCCCTGGCTTCCTTCACAGTGTGACTCCGCTTTTCCCCTGACTCCTTCAAGGATGTTGCCTGGCGCAGAATGGGCATTGAATAAATATTTGTTGAATGAACAAAGGAAGAAATGCATTAATGAATAGTGTATATGTGACTAAATCTTTATGAATATAATAACTCAGTTCTAATTTCTTTTTAAATTTTATTACTTTTAAGTTTTATTCATGTGTGCATGAATAAGAGAAAGGGAGAGAAGAATAAGAGAGACAGAGAAAAGCACTCTCAACAGAGTCTTGTTATGCTGTGATCCCATTTCCCTGGTCCTGTAGCTCATCAGGATCTTGGATATGCATTCACGTGGTATACTTTCAAGTCAACCTGGGGATCCAAACCTGTGATTGACCATATAGCTTCCAGAATGGCAGTTCAGTTTGTTAACCATTGTACCACCAGGAAGGGTGTAATTTCTTTTCTTTTCTTTTTTTTTTTTAAAAATAAAAACCCAAATGTTAAAATATTTGACATTAAAAAAATAAAATTGAAAAAAGTTTAACAATTCTCATCAGTTTCTTTTCACTCTGTAAATTGGAGTAGAACAAGCAAAGCACATACAGAAAATAAAATTAATGACTTCATTTCTGCTATTTAAGGCTAAACTGATGACAACTGGTCTTGGTGTTGGATTTTGGATTATTAAAAAAATATATTTTGCAAGAAATAAACATGGCTTATGTGAACCAGCAATGAGATAACTGCTTTGGTAAGAATGACAGCAGCAGTTGATACTTCTGGGGAAAAACATGAACCGAAATAAGAACCAAAAAATCCTCTTCCAATCCCAAGTGGCAATGAGATTTAAAAAAATTAAATTTAGCTGCTGATGCCAACAAACAGAGCCTTTGTATGTGTTCAGTGGAAATCTTTGATCAAAATTTGCCAATTGCCAATATTTTTACATGGCATATACAGTGGCAAAGTAAAGCATTAGATGATTTTGTATCTGGAATATATTTACAAAAATAAAAAGGAATTAACCTGGGTCAGATGCTTCATTCTGTCAATGCCTAACACTGTGAATTAGCTTAGTATAATAAAAGAAAGTAAGTTTAAGTAATCACAATGTTAAAAAAATAAAACATAATAATTTGAGTTAACATCCTTATCTTAAAAAGAAAATCGATACTAATTGTATACATTTGACTTGAGAATGGCAGATAAAACTTTTTTAAATTTTTGGAAATTTATATAAAATTAAATGTTAGGTTTTGATTCTAAATTTTTAAAAATTTGTCAAAGGGCATGTGTGTTGATGATAGAGAGAGAGATAAAAAGAGAGCAAAGAAAGTGGTGATGTGTCCTACAAGGGGCGTGATCACGCCACAATCCCTTCACCATCTGTCTATCCTTCTGAGCTTTTGGGCACACATGCATATGT